TACCTTCCCGCGTCTGAAGTGGGTCATTTGCGTGTCCACTGCCTTCCTGGCATGTGGTTGCAGTTTCTCAGGCTCACTCTCCAGAATCGAACCCTGATTCCCCGTTACCCGTGGTCACTATGTTAGGCGCAGTAAATGGCATCGAAAGTTGATATGGATGACATATGAATTTGTTGGGGAGCCCATTGAAAAAGTGCTCTAGCTGGGTGATCTCCTCCGGGAACTTGGCTTGATGGGAGTTGAGCCAGTTCTGGGTGGCCCTTGTGATGCGTCATGCCCACTCCGCATGGGAGTCCTTCTCCCCTTTCCGGGTTTCCCTAAACTTTCGGCGGTATTGCTCGGGGGTGACTGCATACCGGGCCAGGAGGATTTGGGTAATAAAGGGATAGTCTCTGTTCACCCAGATCAGGGCTATGAGGAGATGTAGGGGATATGTTGTTGTTTTGGGATGTTTCTGGACTTTGGGTAAAAATAGATATTTTCTGCCTGTGGTAATTGAGTTAGTCCATTGTGTTTGTTAATTGTATCACAAGCAGAGGGGAGGGTTTGTGTTCAGTAACTGGGAGTGTTCAAATGTAAAACTCTGTTTTGTATTGGTTTGTGAGTTTTATGTCCTGTGCTCCACAAGGTCCATGTGGGCAGTAACCTTGTGGGGGGAAAAGAAGCAGCTGTACCATTAAACCTTCAGTTCTACTTGACCCTCAACTCTCAGCCACGACTCGTGTTTGAAGGCTATAATCACTACTATGCACTTCATACTTCCTTAGCTTCACTGAGCTCTTGTAAGAGCTTGTTCCTGTTCCTGCTTCACTCTCTGGAAGGAAGAGAGGTTCACCCACCGGAACCTGGAGCCTTGTTGTAGGTCCAGGGTGGGTAGGAGACAGCAAGACCCCAACCAAGCTGCGGCGGTTCATGAGGTCTGCAGTGCTTATGGTGTCCGGTGTGGTGCTGATGGTGAGCGCTAGTGAGCGCTAGGAGCATCCTTTCTACGGTCCAACCCTCAGCTAGCCTGGGGCAACCGTAACAGCCTACCTCTTAATAGTATTGTATCTTGTAAAAAAGATGCAAAATGAGAATGGCACAAATCTGTAAAGTAAAATGTTTTCGTACTTTTCATCTCTACATTAATTCAGATCAAAACAAAACCTCTCTTTACGTTTGGGCTTTTCCCTCTGTCTGTTGTGTCATGCTTTTTTATTGATTTATTCAACTGTTTCCACTTGTAGATTTTGTGGATAAAAATGGAAACTTCCTCCAGCTTTAGGCAAAAAAAAGAAAAAAGAAATCCCTAATGAGACAGAGATGTTTTTGCCTGAAGCTGAAGGAAGCAAGGTGAGTTGTTGATGTAGGACCCACCTGGGAGGTATGCCTTGATGTGGCAGGTGGGCTTACACATAATGGCCATTCGAGTGAAACAAAAAAAACTCCATTTGTCTAAATATGCATATTGATTTGGGGTAGTATGCAGGTAAAACTTAAAAAAAAAAAAAATGTTTTTATTACTATCATCATGTATATCTTCCAATAATTTGTAACTGGGTATAAGTATTATTTTACTTATTATTTGGTAACAGGACCATGTTAACTACTATTGGTCTCCTGGTTTACATCATTTTTACTATGTTGCATTATACTTACTGCTTTACCTTTGTTCTAAATATTGTTCTTAGTTTAAGCATTATTTTCCTTACTAATGCATGCCATTATTACTATACAATATGAAAACATTTATCTAAAGGGATCTAGGAATGCATAGACTTGCCTTTTGCCTAGAGTACCAAATAGGTATTGTTGCCTAGCTCAACTAGTGCAGGGCTGAATTTCTCATTAGGCAGAGAAGGCACTTACCTACAGCCATCTGCCATATATACAGCACTTATAATGTGCCTTTCTGAACTTAATTGGGCAGCTGGGGAGACATAAGTACCAAGAGCCTCAGTCTGTGCATTCTGTAGTCCAGTCATGATTGATAACAGAGAAGCAGGAACACCAATATGTTTTGGAATTGTGCTCCTCTGAACTACCTCAACTGCAATACATGGGGAATACAACTCAATAATAAATGGAGCAAAACACAGATAGAGATTTTGGACATGATCATCTACACTAATCAAAATAAATAAAAAAAAGAAAAAAAAGTTCTTCAAGGAAGTGGATGTTAATCGTTATATATAGCAACGTCTAGATACCTTAGTTTACTCAAACTGTAACTATATCCTAAGCTTCCTCTCTTTCTGCTAAAATGGGAAAACCAACTGGAATACTCATTGGGAGAGAAGGAGTGGTGTGAGAGTTTCTACACAACCTTCTAGGCACATTTCAGTGTCCCTCTACAAGGGGTCAACTACAAACTTGTCTCAGTGTGATACTTCACTCCACACAGGCCCGGACTGGCCATCGGGCACACCGGGCAAATGCCCGGTGGGCCGCGATGGCCGTGGGGCCGAGGCCGGCAGGGAGATCACAGGATCTCCCCGGCCGGCCCCTGCAGGGCCAGCGCTATGCGAGCGCCGGCCCCGCTGTGTGCCTCCATGGGCCGGCCGGGGAGATCACAGATCTCCCTCACCGGCCCACAGGCACTGTTACATGCGGCCGCCGGCTGGATGAAGGAGGGAGGGAGGAGAGAGGACCCGGCGGAGCTCTAACAAGCAGCTCCGCCCGGTCCTCTCGCGGGATTCTGAGCGTTGCCGCGGCAACGCTCAGATCTCGCGAGAGTGAACTCTAACCTGCAGGTTAGAGTTCACTCTCACCACTGGACCACCAGGGAAGGCAGCATGGTCCCCTCAAGGCTCCCCCTGCCAGGCAGAACAGCTCCCTCCCCCTCCCAGGCTAAAGGTAAGAAGGGAGGGGGGGGGGAACATAACTTTTTTTAAAATTATTAATAATAATAAATATAATTATTAATAAAATAAAAAATATATATTTCAAATAATTTCCCTAACAGCCCCCCCAGACACACACAGCCCCCCCAGACACACACAGCACCCAGACACACACAGCACCCCCCAGACACACATATCACCCCACAGACACACACAGCAACCCCCAGACACACACACACAGCACCCCCCCTAGACACACACACACACATAACCCCCTAGACACACAGCAATCTAGACACACAAAGCACCTAGACACAAAGTAACCTAGACACACACAAAGCACCTCCCCAGACACACAGCACCCTCAGACACACACAGCACCCCTAGACACACACACAGCACCTCCAGACACATACACACAGCAACCCCAGACACACACACAGCAACCCCAGACACACAAATCACCCTCAGACACACACACAGCACCCCCAGACACACACACAGCAACCCCAGACACACACACAGCACCCTCAGACACACACAGCACCTAAACACACACAGTGCAGCCACCCTCAGACACACACAGTGCACCCAGACACACACAGCACCCTCAGACACACACA